AGCTCTCGGTGCGAAACATACCCGCCTGGGCTGCGTTTCGCTCTTGCCATGACGACTCACCTCCTGTAGCCTGCTGGTGCAGCGACGGAGGTGAGGTCAGCGTTGATTGCTGTTGCAGAGGCGGGACCGGCTGCTGTAGCTGCGGGGCCGCAAACGGTGCCGGCACCATTTGGGGCCAGGACGGATGGAGACAGGGTGGCGGCGTTCACTTTATCATGCGTTCATTATTAGCATGCGTTCACTTTAGAATTAGCCGAAAACTGGCGTGAAGTCTTTTGAGGGCCATCGATGAATTTCGCTAAAAATGACAATGTAATGGTTTGGAACATTTACATTTTTAAGAATACTTTTGATCATCATGCAAAAGTTAAGACAGAACCTTGGACAGAATTGAATGCTCTTTCCAACGGTGCCATTTTTAATTGCCAGAGATATCAGATCATTGAGCAAAATCCGTGTGAATAATAAAGTAGCGAAACATCGACAAACAACATTTTCTCCAGCGATTTGTACCACCTTGGCGTCGATAAATTAGCTATTCACAATCTTCCCATGAAAGGCGGTACATTTCTCTTGCCAACAGGCGTTGTTTCAACTCGCTCCATTTAACGGTCACCTAAAGATAAAATCAATTCCAAAATCCGTCAAAAACCGCAATTTAAAAAAAAGTGCCCTCCCCGGTGCACGTGGCGCGTGCTATACTCTGTATCGCACACCATTCAATTGCCGATTCAATTATCTACACGATGCTGTTTTCCCCGTGCCGGCCGGACCCCTGGTCACCAAGATATTGCGCCGGGACCGGACCCGTGTCGGCCAAAATTAGCCGTTTTCGCCTGATTTCGCACGCCGATTTATACACGTAAAGTCTATGACGCGAATTTGCACTTTTTGTGCACGCGCCACGCGCTCACTGTCGACCCGATCGAGCTGAGACCCCTCAAAGGCACGTCGCGCATCCTTGATCTATAAGTTGTGCAAATTTCAGCGCGCTAGGTGCAACGGTCTGGCCTGTAGTCCACGCAAAGCACCACCAAGTCGGGACCTCGGTAACGGACAGACGCACCCTCTTCAAATAGTAATATGGATGGCCATCAGAAGGCCCCAAACGGTCCTCAGCCCACGTCCAACGGTCCTCAGCTGACGTCAAGAGGCCCTTAAAGGCCTCAAAGGTCTTCGGCTGCTCAAAGGACCCTTAGAATGCCTCAAAGGGAGCTCAAGAGACGTTAAACGGCCCTCAAAAGGCTTGAAAGGGCCCTCTACTGGTGGCAAAGGGCCACTGTGATTGAGCTGACGTCAATCACAGCCTTGTCAAAAACGGACTTAAGAGACCTTGCCGCCCCCTGGTTATCTGAGGGACTCCTACAGTTACCTGAGTGGCCCCCGTTTACTGAGAGGGCCTTGGTTATTTAAGGGGTCCCTGGTTACTTAAGGGGCCCCCGGTCATCAGAGGGTCCCCTGGTCACCTAGTGGGCCCCTGATCAATTGAAAAACCCTGGTCTTCTAAGAGGCCCCTGATTACTTGAAGGGTCCCTGATCATTTGGATTCAGTGGCATAGCCAGGGAGCGAGGGGGTACGTGGCACGTGCCCGTTCTCGGGGTTAGGGTTCCTTCGAACCCGAGGGGCCCTGCGGCGCCAATTGGTGGCAGAACGTCCGCAGTGGCCGCGCTTCAACTCGGAAGGGCACCACAGGGCTTATGAGAGCACGTTATGGGCTCCTTAACATAGGCGGCGGAACGATTTGAGACAAGGGGGGCACCAGCTCAAGGAGCCAAACCTAGGGTACCCCCAAATCTTGTTTTCTCATCGGATTTAGGCCACTTATTTTTCGTCACAGCCCTGACACGATGATTTTTTTTTTACTAAACGAAAATGGCAGTTCACCCCCGTATGTGTGGTTAACTTTAAGCTGATCCTCAAGTAGGTACCTATGTGTTTGTCTCTTCCTTATTCTCATATGATTTCAAGCTTTTACGACTAGACATCTTAATACAAGGTAGGAACGTTTTTCGGCTACTAGTCGTTTATTGTTTTCGTTTCGAATTTTCGACCTTCGCATCGAGGTCGTTGTCAAGAAACATATAACAATGACAATAACATGCATCGTGAACACGTTGCACACACAAGCCTCGAAGATGGCAGTCGTGAGGTCACTAGTCGACCGGGCTTTCAAGATTTGTTCACCAGAACATCTAGAAGACGAGCTCCTGTACATACTTCGAGCCTTAAAAAGAAATGGCCCAGCGAAGACGATACACAAATACATAGCACGAAAACGAAGAACACCAGAACCGAAACTACAGACGACAGAAAACGGAGAGAACGAACAAACGACGGATCACAGAACGACACGAAACGGCAGGAAACGTCGAGCAGTCCTACCATACTGCGAGGGACTAACTCACAACCTGAAGCGCCTCCTGGAAAAGAACAACATCGAATGTGCCATTTCTTCAAGAAGCCAAACACTTAGGAGCAAATTATCAACAGTCAAAGACAAACATCTACCGGAAGAGAAACCCTGTGTATACAAAAGCCCCTGTCACTGCGGCAAAATCTACATCGGACAAACACGACGGAAGCTGCAAACAAGAATAAAAGAACATCAAAGAGACGTCAAAAACTGCAATCACAACGGAAGCGCCTTCGTAGATCACCTTTTTGAACCAGGAGAACACGCACCGCTTTGGAACAAAACGACAGTCCTCGAAAACGAAAACAATCTAACGAAACGACTCACGAAAGAAGCGCTACAAATACACGTCAAGAAAAACGACACGATCAACCGAGTAGACGGCACCGCATTCAGTCCTTTATGGGATCAGTGCTGGTAGGGCAACGAGATCCGACGATCAAGCAATCAAAGATTTTAAGCATGTATTTTTAATGTGTCACAGCCTGTTTGTGTGTCTCATGTACTGCATTCATTCATTCATTCATTCATTCATTCATTCATTCATTCATTCATTCATTCATTCATTCATTCATTCATTCATTCATTCATTCATTTATTCATTCTTTACTTCAGTCAGTCAGTCAGTCCGTCAGTTAGCCATTAATTCATTCGTTCATCTATTCATACACTTTTTTCCTCATTAATTTTGGGTACATAGTTTCAGGCCAGAAATAGCTGGAGGGATTACTTGCACGTTTTTAGATATGATGACCGTACTGGTGATGATAGTGTTCTCGCGTTGTGTTCTTGTTTCTTAATAGCTTAATTAAACTTAACCTATATTCACAAACTGTTTTCACATTTCTCTGGTTTTGTATTTTTCCTCTCTTTCAGACATCAAAAACACTCTATTTAAGCACAAATTTCTTTAGTTCCTCGCGCATGGAGGCACATGCTATTTCTGCTGTTTTACTTTCGAGAGTAACACCAGAGTATTATCCGGGATCCTCCGGAACATCACCCCCCACTCTGAATGAACCTCCGGTCATTCAGAATCACTTCAGACCACATCAGCTGCATCCCTGGATCATGACAGTCACCCACCGATGGCGTCTACAGTCATCCTCTTCAGACATCCAGCTCCAGTCGAACAGTCTTCGTGACTGGCCTCTTATATACACCTTTTGCAGTCTTAACTTCTACAACACGGACGAGCCCATCTGATCCTGGGAACGTCTTCGTGACCCTGGCTAGCGGCCACAGTCCTCTGGGTGCATTCGGATCCACCAACAGCACCAGTTCACCTTCACGCAGGTTTTCAGATTGCTCAGTCCATTTTTGCCTCCCTTGCAGAGTTGGGAGGTACTCGCGAATCCAGCGTCGCCAGAACTCCGAGCTCAGTTGCAGCAGGCGGCGCCAGCGTCTTCTTGTCGTTTCTGCATCTCCATCATCATCAGGCATGAAGTCGAGCCTGGTTTGGCCCAACATGAGCGACGCCGGAGAGATGGGCGGCTGGTCATTCGGATCAGATGAGACACTCGTCAAAGGTCTCGAGTTAAGCAGAGCTTCAGCGCGGCAGAACGCTGTCTGTAGCTCTTCATCGCTGAGATGAGCCGATTCCAGCGTCTTCCGAAGCGCACGTTTTGCGCTCTTCACCATTGCTTCACAGCCTCCGTTGAAGTGAGGAGCGCCTGGAGGCGTGAAGTTCCACTTGACACGCAAGTGCGCGGTCCTCGTTGTGATGTCGCCCTGGTCCAGGCTGCTCGCCAGCTTCTGTAGTTCACGGCTCACTCCGATGAAGTTCTTCCCATTGTCTGAGGTCATTTCAGCAGGTACACCTCTGCGAGCTACAAATCGCATGAAAGCTCTGAGAAAGCTGTCTGTGTCAAGGCCAAAGGCGACCTCGAGATGCACCGCTCTGGTCTGCTGACACAGAAAGAGGCACAAGTAGCGCTTGGTTCTTGACTTGCATCGGCCCTGCTTGGTTTCAAACGGCCCAGCAAAATCCACTGCACATCTCAAGAAAGCCCGATAGGGCCCCTTTACTTCACTGGTGCGTTTTGGAGCCATGAGCTGGCTTCTGGGTAGTCGGCGCCTCTTCACACATTCTGGGCATGACCAAATGCATTTTTTCACTTGCTCTCTGGCGCCGATTATCCACACCCTCTGACGAAGCTCAGAGACGGTGTGTTCGATTCCCAGCTCGTGATCACCATCTTCATGAACGTATCGCACGAACAATTTCGTCACTTCATGATGCTTCGGTAGCAGCACCGGATGTTTGGCGTCGAAGGACAGTCCACTCTGCTGTAGACGGCCGCCAACTCTCACTAATCCGTTGCTATCCAGCGCTGGACACAAGCGACGGATCTTGCTGTCTTTGCACACGTGCCTTGAGTGCACTACGTCATTGTCTTCCTCTTGTGCTTGCAGATGACGTCGCTCGTCCTCGAAGCACTCCTGAGCTTTCAGGAACCAGAAATACTCGGCTTGAGTCAGTTCTTCACTCGAGAGAGAACCACAGGAGCTATCCGAGTTCTCAGATTCAGCCTCGGTTCTTCTTTGTTTCAGCCTTTTCACGAAGCGGAGCACCCATGCTGTCACTCTGATGAGCTTCATCCACTTCGAGTAGCGTGCTGGCTGTAGCCGGAAGTCTGTGTCCATCTCCTTCGCCCGCGCTGAGTGAGTAGTTACTTTTTCTTTGCGGAACTCACTGGGGTCGCATGCCTGTTCAGAGATGTCTCTCTGTTTTGGCCAGTTCTCAGGTGACTCCAGAAGGAATGGAGGTCCTTCCCACCAGAGGCTGATGTGCTTCAGGTCTTCCAGCTTGACACCTCTACTGGGGAGATCTGCTGGATTTTCCGTTCCAGGAATGTGTCTCCACTGATCAGGACTCGTGAACTCCCGGATCTCTGAGACGCGGTGGGCGACAAACGGTTGGAAGCGCTTGACGTCATTTTTTATCCAGCAGATAACGTTGAGCGAGTCCGACCAGAACACCACGTCCGTCAGCTGAATCTCAAACGCAGCGCAGACCTTCTTCACGAGCCGCAGGCCAAGTAGCGCAGCCATAAGCTCGAGTCGAGGTATGGTGACCTTTCTTGACCTTGGTGTGACCCTAGCTCGAGCCAGAGCTATTCTTGACACGATCCCTTCTTCACAGTCAGTGACGACGTAAATCACAGCGGCGTACGCCTGCTCCGATGCGTCTGAGAATACATGCAGTTGTTGTGCGTTTTCACTGGAAAATGAATGAACGCACCTTGGGACAGTCAATGAGCTCACCTCCTGAATATCTTCAAGCCAGGTCAGCCATTCAGCTTCCATGTCGGGCGGCAGTGGATCGTCCCAATCCAGACCGCGAGCCCAAGTCTCTTGAAAGATGATCTTGGCGGTGATGGTGAGCGGGCAGATCAGACACAGCGGGTCGAAAACCGCAGCTATTTTCTTGAGACAGAGTCTTTTTGTTGGCCGGTTTTCAGGCGTGGCGTCTGAGGAAGTGGTAGCGCAGATTCCAAGAGTATCTTCACCAGCATTCCACAGAAGACCCAGCGTCTTGCTTGTCTGATTTGGGCCATCTTCGATCTTGAATTCCGGCTCCTTAGCGCGCTCCTTTTCCGGGATACTTGCTGTTACATCCGAGCTGCTGCTTCGCCATTTCCATATGTGCATGCCTGCCTGCTTCATCACATCAGTGAGCTGTTCTCTTGCTTCTTTGGCTTCCTCTTCAGTTTTGAAGGAGCAGAGCGCATCATCCATGTAGAATGATCTTTCCACGGCTTGAGCGGCGAGAGGGAACTCGGCAGCGTGTATCTGAGCATTTTCCTTCATGACATACTGAGCAGCGAAAGGTGCAGCCGCGTTTCCAAATATCCATCGCTGGGCTTCGTATATATCGGGCGCCCTCTCTGCTTCACCGTCGCGCCATAGGACGCGGTGATACTTCTTGTCTGCGGTCGCCAGCTTCACTTGGCGAAACATCTCCTCGACATCACCCGTCAGAGCGATGGGATGACGCCGGAATCCCAGTAGAATCTCGATCAGATCGCTGCAGATTGAAGGACCTGGGTACAGCTCGTCGTTCAAGCTTCTTCCCTGGTACTTTGCCGCAGCGTCGAAGACCAGTCTGATCTTTGTTGTTGCCCTGTCTTGTCTTATCACTGGAAAGTGAGGCAAGAACCACCCTTCACAGGTGGCGGCTGTCCAGTTTTCATCACCGGCGGCTATCTTCAGAAAGTAGCCTTTCTTCACGTAATCTTCGAAGATCTCACCGTACTTTTTCTCCATGGCTTCATCTTTACGTTTCTTCATATTTTCCTCCGTTTTTCTCAGCCTGCTGAGCGCATATCCGAAATTTCCGGACAGATTGGGCTCATCATTTCGCCAGGGGACTTTCACTTCATATCGCCCTCCTTCATGCTTCATCTTCTCAACTTTCTTCATCGCTTCTTTGTCTTCAACTGACATAATCTTTTCTTTCTGCTCCCTTACACCGATCACTTCTAGCTCTGTCATCTCTCGCATGGCCTTAATCTCTTCCTGATTTTCCACTTTCAGCTTGCTTCGGATATGGGTTCTCAGGGTCTTGATGCTTTCCATTTCGGCTCCACTGACCGGCCCGAAGGCGGTCCAGCCCAGTGGGGTTTTCACCGCCACTGGATCACCGGGAGGCCCCTGGATGGTTTCCTCAGGTAGAAACAGGGACATGGTGTCGCCCGTCAGGCCGATAAGCATATCAATGCTGCCTTTCCTGGATACGGTCGGGAACGGGATCTTCTTCATATGATCCCAGCGATCTTTCATCAGGTTCCAGTCGATTTTTGTTGATGCGCTGGACAGATCTTTGATGACAAATGCGCTGAGCTTGGCCTTGTAGCCTTCATCCACTGAGCTGAGTTGAATCTGAGTTTTCTTCATCCTCACTTGTGAGCTTCCGTTCACCGTCTCCAGGTCCACATCTTCATCTTCTCCCTGCAGCTGTAGCTCATTCGCAGCGGCCTCCGTCAGGTAGCTGGCATCAGAACACGGGTCCAGAAGTGCACTTACAATGACTGATCTCCCATTCGCAGAGAGCTTCACTGGCACCGTCTGAAACGCCACTCGATCGGGGTTCGATTGAGCGTCTCCAGATGACTTCTTTGTGCGAAACGACTGCTTGGAACTTCTCTGTGTCTGGGTGGATGGGACGTATTCTGCACCAGCTACTTCAGCTTCGTGAGGTACCGACCGGCCTCCCATGGCTCCCTCACGGCCAGTAGTCGCGGGCTTGGCTGTAGCGTGCAGCAGTGTGTGGTGCGTGCCTTCACATGAATTCACCGAGCAGCCATTGAACTGCCGGCAGTTACGCCCCAGATGATGGCCAGACAGGCAGCGGAAACATATCCTGTTAGTTTTGCAGTAGTGGTAGCGACTGCTGACAGTCCACCGGGTGAAGTGCGGGCAGTTATCCAGACTGTGCGGCTCGTTGCAGTACAGACACGTTGCTCTTCGTTCAGGCTGTCCGACGGTCTCCGTGTTGAAAACTCTTTTCGGCTTCTTCGGTACGATCTCCGCCTTGCCTCTGCCTTCAGGTCTCTGCTGACCGGCCAAGCTTATCTCCTGCGCCTCCCGCTCACATACAGCTTCATCTGCCAGCCAGTCAGCGAACAGAATCAAACTGTCCGTCCTGTTCCCATCCTGTTGCCACCGCTTGTAGGTTTTCAAATATGATGCCGGCAGCTTCTCCTTGACCAAAATGTAGTATGCTGACATTTCGGTCAGATCCGCCACACATCCACTGTCTTCCAAATTGGTCACTAGGGTCTGGACGCAGTCAGCAAGATCATCCAAGTCTTTGCAGTTTCCGGCTCGTACCGGCTTCATCGCTCGGATCTCTTCAAGTTGACGTCTGATCCGTCTTCCCGTTCCGCCGTATTTGCGCTCCAGCTCGCTTCTGGCCTTTGTATACCCGGCTGCCGTGGGATTGTATCGGCTGACGAGCTTCAGCGGGTCACCGCCGAGACAGGCTTTGAGCTGTATCATCTTGAATTTTTCCGGGATGTCTTCGTCTCCCACAAATGCGTCGAATGTTATCTTCCAATTTTCATAGTCCTCTCCAGAGAACACCGGCAGTTGAGGACTTCTTAGACCATGGGTGGTCCAGTCCATCTGCGTTCTTCTCACTCCTTTGTTTGCTTGGGTTCCGGACGTGCTCGCATCAGTTGAACTTGGTGCGTTTGCAGGCTGCGGGTTAATCTTCTCGCGAATGGCTTTATTGGTCAACCGAATGGTTTCTCGCGATTCTTTCTCAACCTGCTCCAGTTCCTGCCAAAGTTCTTCCTTTTCGCCTTGATCACTTACTTCTTCACAAAGTGATTCCGTCAGTCCATGCATATGCTCGATCAAATCCTCTAGTGATTCGATGGCATCGGCTGAGTTTCCAGTTGTGATCTCACCGCTCTCTACAAGTGAAGTGAGTCGTCTTTGTGTTCGGTGAAATTCACGCATAGTCTTGCTAATGTCCCTTTTCAGAGGCATCGTTGAATCTGATTTATCTGAACTTTCCGAGTTATCTTGATCGGCAGCTTCTGTATTGTCAGCTCTCCTTTTCTTCTTCCCTGCCATCTTGTCAAAGAGTGCACTTAATTAATGCTTAACAGATACTTACATTACTCTAAGCCAATTCAAGACACCAGTTACCTACGTTACTTCACATTACTTTACTCTTTAAATTTGCACAAGGCGTTCAAAGATATCTTAATCACCGGCGAATCCGGGTCAATACGGCTCCAGATGTTGATGATAGTGTTCTCGCGTTGTGTTCTTGTTTCTTAATAGCTTAATTAAACTTAACCTATATTCACAAACTGTTTTCACATTTCTCTGGTTTTGTATTTTTCCTCTCTTTCAGACATCAAAAACACTCTATTTAAGCACAAATTTCTTTAGTTCCTCGCGCATGGAGGCACATGCTATTTCTGCTGTTTTACTTTCGAGAGTAACACCAGAGTATTATCCGGGATCCTCCGGAACACGTACTATTTTTCAAACGTGTTCACGATGCATGTTATTGTCATTGTTATATGTTTCTTGACAACGACCTCGATGCGAAGGTCGAAAATTCGAAAATAAAACAATAAACGACTAGTAGCCGAAAAACGTTCCTACCTTCCTTATTCTCGTTTGATAAATTCCATTAATCCTGCATGTATCAAATTACCAAGAAGCCATCGCAGTACTAATTATCAGTGGCGAATCCCAGGGGGGAGGTCACTGTGTCATGACTTTGGGCCTGGGGTCACCATCATGCCTGCCAGTAGCACCACAGGCCTGACAGCCGACAGGGGCACCACAGGCCCGCCAGGGGTACCACAGGCTTAGCAGGGGCACCACGGCCCTGTCAGTGGCACCACAGGCCTGTCAGGAGCACCATCGGCTTAGCAAAATCACTACAGGTCTTCCAGGGGCACCACAGACCTGCCAGGGGCACCAGAGGCCTGCCAGGGGTACTATCGGCTTCGCAGGGGAACCACCGGCCTCGCAAGGGCACCATGGGCCTGTCAAGGGCACCACAAGCCTGTCGTTGGCACTTTAGGATTGTCAGGGGCACCACAAACCTGTCAAGGGCACCTGCGTTCTAACAGGGGCACCACAGGCTCGCCAGGGGCACCACAGACCTGCCAAGGCCCAGGGACACCACAGGCCTAGCAAGGACACCACAGGCCTGTCAGGGGCACCACGGGCCTGTCAGGGGCACCACGGGCCTGTCAGGGCCCATGGGCACCTAAGTCATGTGCAGGGCCCACCGTAGGCTTGTCAGGGGGCAGGGTAGGTAGGTACCACAGTCTTTCCAGGGGCACCAGCGGCCTAGCAGGAGCACCAGTCATCACACGACTAACCAAAAATAAAGAAAATAAAAAACTGAAAATAGGGCACCACCAAAATTAAGTGGCCGAAATCCGTCGAGGTTTTGATTTTGGGTATAGGTAGAGGCACTACTTCGATTCATGACCCTCCCCTTGGAGTTTTCCCGAATCCGCCCCGGTACTAATACGGTACTAATACATCGTACTAATACAATCCGAATCCGGTACTAATACATCAAATTTAAGGGGGGCACCTTGCTATTGGTGCCCCCTTGCAGAATTCAACACCCCCCCCGTTCCGCCGCCTATGGGCTCCTATGTAGCCACACTTATCTCCATAAAGCACCTGGTTGTGCTTGACTCATGAGTCGAGTCAGAAATTTGACTCAACTCTGACTCAAATGAGTCAGATTTGAGTCGAGTCGGATAAAATGTTGAGCTGTTGAGTTGAGTCAGAGTTGAGTCGGACAAAAATATTAAGGCATTGAGTTGAGTCAGAGTTGAGTCAGTAAAACAACTTTTGACATTTGTATTTGTTTTTGTATTTAACATCTGGGGGGCATCCACAGGTAGTTGTGGCTATTACGCTCCCGCGTCATATGAGAATGGAACAAAAAGACATCACACTCAACATATCACACAAAACTCACCAAAACGCATGGCTATGCATGAATAGATTTCAGCTGACATACATGCAACCCATATGCATAAGCCTAAATCAGTGTTGAAAGCGACGTTTGAGAGATGATTTGAACTTGTTTGTTGACATGTCCGGAAAATCACTGGGCAGTGCGTTGTACTGCATGGCTGCACGGTAGCTGAACCTTCGACGCCCCGCCTCTGTGTGGATACTGGATGCCAGGTAGCCACAGCCTGCTATCCCGTCTAGTCGCTCGCTCGCGCATCTCCTCATTTCGGCGAAACATAGCGGCAATGTCAGCTGGCTCGCCCGTTCGGATAACCTTGTGCAGTAGCACCAGCGTATCGTACGACGATAGGTCACCAGCCGAGAGCCACCCCAGCGCGTCCCTTACATCAGCCACGTGGTCATATTTGCGACGGCCAGACACAACCCTTGCGGCAAAATTAATGACCTTATCAAGTCGTGCGAGGTTCCCTTTCGAGCAGTTCCCGTAAACGGGCAGGCAGTACCGCACATGTGAGAGAACAAGGGCAGTCACAAGCGTCACAATCGTATCCTCTGGTATGTAGTGGCGCACCTGGCTCAATCCTATCACTTATCAGCGCTCCGAAACATTTACCAACAATGGCAGCGACATGGTCATCCCAGGTGAGGTAAGAATCGAAGGTCACGCCCAGATTCTTGACCCTTTGACACGGTTTCAAGACGGCGTCTCTAAATCTTACATTTATGTCAGGCAGGTTGCGCATGCTCTGCCGGCTGCCAAACGCAATCAATTCAGTCTTGGTGGCATTGACTTTCAACCCATTGGCCGCAAACCAGTCACTGAGGGCTGCCAGGGTCGTCTCCATTCTAGTCTCTGTGTCGCTCATCGCTGTCCTACGGCCACTGACGAGCACCTGCGTATCGTCAGCGTACTGAACGATACGCGCATCAAGGGCATGCAGGCTCATGTCGTTCGCAAAGCAAGTGAACAACAAAGGCCCGAGGGCCGAGTCTTGGAACACACCAACATGGTTTGGCAGTGACTTGGAGAGTACGCGGTGACCCCTACCATCACTGATGCATACACTCTGTGTGTGGCCCTCAAGATATGAGCGGAACCATCCAGCGTCAATCCCAAGTAGTTGGAGCTTGTCAAGTAATTTAGAATGGTTGATGATATCAAAGCATTTACTTAGGTCAATGAGACACAGGAGAGAAATTTCGCTGTTGTCCATGGCTGAGAGTATACTATCGGAGACGTTAATAAGAGCGGAAGCAGTCGAATGGTTGGGCCGAAATCCATGTTGACTGTCCGAGAGAAGAAAGTTGCTAGAGAGGTAATAATGGAGCTGACGCTGGACGATCCGCTCAGTGATCTTGGCGATAACGGGCACAAGCGATATCGGCCTATATTTGAGTTGAGTTGAGACATTGAGTTGAGCCAAACATTTAGGAACATGAGTCAGCTAACTCAACTTTCTAGAAACAAGCTTTTCATCCCCCCCCCCGCCTAACAACTTCGCCCTGGCCCTGCTCCCGGATTTTTTTTTTTCACCACCGCCCCCGTTCAACAACTTTTTTATCTGAGTCAATTTTGAGTCAACTCGCTTGACTCAACAAAAAATTTGAGTCAAGTTTGAGTCGACTCATATTTTCATTGAGCCGCTTGAGTCATGAGTCGAGTCAAGGGCAAAAATCAGCTCCTTGTTTGAGTCAGAGTTGAGTCAGGGCTTTCTGAAGTTGAATGATGAGTCGAGTCGGCAAATTTTTTTGAGTCGAGCACAACCCTGCCATAAAGCCCCAATATACTGATGTGTGCACTGCACACATCAGTATACACACAGACACACACAAACATATGTACAAACACATATCATTGACCTTGACCTAACTTGACCTGAGATGACCTCAGCAGCAAAAACCTGGTCGGGTAGTGTGACAAAGAGGTTCCAGCTGGCTTGGCACCAGAAAACGGCATCGTCATTGGTATATGACAAGCAGGGCACTTGATATCCAACGGTGACCCCAAACAGCAACATTTTTTAGTTTGACCTGACCTGGAAGGTCAATGACTGACCGGAGAAGGTAAAACTGGGTATCATTGGATTTGTCTCTTTCCAAAGAATCTTTTTGGTCTTTACTGCTAAGCTCTATCTCCAACAGGAACGAAATGGCGCGGGGGGTGGCAACCCCCCCCATGTGCGTTCTAGGATGGGAAAATGGCATGTGCGGGCGAGGGTTAAGAAGGCGATGGGTGGGGTGTTTAACCCCTCCGTCCAGCCGAGCGTGCAAAGCCAGGAATCCCAGTCGGGCGCCCGGGGAACAGTGCAGAAGGGGAAACATTGCAGTGCTGTTTTCATTTGGCAGCGGCCGCCGTTGTGTTTCAGGAGCGCTGATGGCGGCGTGTGGAGCGCTGCCGCCGCTGCCGGCGGTGCTGGTCGCCGGCTGGCCGCCGTACCCGGCGCCGACCGTCCGGCGGCTGGCGGCCAGCGCCGGACTCCAGTTCTGCTGGCAGCGCCAACAGGACGGCGGCTGGGTGACGGTCGGCAGCGGCCTCCACTACGTGCCGTCCGAGGCGGACGTGGGCCGCCGGCTGCGGCTGGTGGGCCGCCGGGACGGGCCCGCCGGGACCGGGCCGGCCGAGCTCTGCTGGCTGTCGGAGCCGGTGCTCGCCGGGACCGGCACCTGTCCGTTTGAGCGCGGCCTGCGGCTCACCACTGAGCCAGTCGGAGCCGACGGGTAAGACACAGCGGTGCGCCCGTCCGCTACACACCCGCCCGCGTGCTACAGTGTATTCGTGTGTGTGTGTGTGGGAGGGGGGGGTGCGTGTGCGTGTGCGTGTGCGTTTGCGTGTGCGTGTGTGTGTGTGCGTGCGCGTGCGTGTGTGTGTTTGTGTGTGTGTGTGTGTGTGTGTGTGTGTGTGTGTGTGTGTGTGTGTGTGTGTGTGTGTGTGTGCGTGTGTGTGTGTGTGTGTGTGTGTGTGTGTGTGTGTGTGTCTAGAAGGGCGCCGAGTGATTGAACGCTATGTGGTCCAGGGGCGCTGAGAGGCCAGAAGGGTGCCGAACAGTCGCGGGATGCACGGTGGAGAGAGACCTAAAAGGGGGAGACGGCCAGGAGGGCGCCGTTAGACCATGAGAATGGCGCGGTGCTTTCAAAAGGGCGTCATTCTCCTAGAAGGGCGCCGAGTGATTAAAAACGCTATATTATCCAGGAACACGAGACGGTCAGGAGGACGACGTTAGAGCATGCGAAGGGCGCCGTGCTCTCGAAAGGACGCTTGTAAAACTTGTGGGTGCATTTTCATCATTGTGGGCCTGGGGGCATAACTCAAGATTGTGGCAAACAACTTGGAAAAATGAGGGAAATACTAACTTTTTATCAAATTCACAGTCTTTTTACATTAACGACGATTCAAAATACCAACAAAATACCAAAATACACTATAGCCATGGAATACCGAATGCCAAGTTTGTATCGGTTTGGTATCGGTATGCCACAAAGTTGGTATCCGATTACATCTCTAGTCTGTGTCTGAGTTCGTGATTGTACCTATCTCTGAGTGTGTGTGAGTGTGTCTGAGGCGGTGCCCGCGGGTGCGTGTGTGTGAGTGTGTCTGAGGCGGTGCCCGCGGGTGCGTGTGTGTGAGTGTGTCTGAGGCGGTGCCCGCGGGTGCGTGTGTGTGAGTGTGTCTGAGGCGGTGCCCGCGGGTGCGTGTGTGTGAGTGTGTCTGAGGCGGTGCCCGCGGGTGCGTGTGTGTGAGTGTGTCTGAGGCGGTGCCCGCGGGTGCGTGTGTGTGAGTGTGTCTGAGGCGGTGCCCGCGGGTGCGTGTGTGTGAGTGTGTCTGAGGCGGTGCCCGCGGGTGCGTGTGTCGCTGAGTGTGTCTGAGGCGGTGCCCGCGGGTGCGTGTGTGTGAGTGTGTCTGAGGCGGTGCCCGCGGGTGCGTGTGTGTGAGTGTGTCTGAGGCGGTGCCCGCGGGTGCGTGTGTGTGTGTGTGTGTGTCTAAGGCGGTGCCCGCGGGTGCGGCAGGTTCCGTCTGGTCAGCTACAACCTGTTGGCCGACTATTACGTGCAGCTGCAGCGCGGCCAGCGCGTGGACTACTGGCCGGCGCAGCCGTGCCAGCACATCGACTACCGCCGCCAGGCGCTGCTGCTCCAGCTGCTCGGTACGCACCGGCCACGCCAGTCACGGGGACAGAGGCCACTGGGACTGGGGGACACGGTCACTGGGACTGGGGCACTGGGACTGGGGTCACTGGGACTGGGGTCACTGGGACTGGGGACACGGTCACTGGGACTGTGGCACTGGGACTGGGGTCACTGGGACTGGGGACACTGGGACTGGGGCACTGGGACTGAGGCACTGGGACTGGGGCACTGGGACTGGGGACACTGGGACTGGGGCACTGGGACTGAGGCACTGGGACTGGGGCACTGGGACTGGGGACACGGTCACTGGGAATGGGGCACTGGGACTGGGGACACGGTCACTGGGACTGGAGCCTGGAGGGACACGGTCACTGGGACTGGGGCACTGGGACTGGGGTCACTGGGACTGGGGTCACTGGGACTGGGGACACGGTCACTGGGACTGGGGACACGGTCACTGGGACTGGGGGGACACGGTCACTGGGACTGGGGCACTGGGACTGGGGGCACTGGGACTGGGGGTCACGGTCTTTGGGACTGGGGTCACGGTCACTGGGAATGGGGCACTGGGACTGGGGACACGGTCACTGGGACTGGAGCCTGGAGGGACACGGTCACTGGGACTGGGGCACTGGGACTGGGGTCACTGGGACTGGGGTCACTGGGACTGGGGACACGGTCACTGGGACTGAGGGATACGGTCACTGGGACTAATGGACACGGTCACTGGGACTGGGGGCTGGGGCCACTGGGACTGAGGTCACTGGGACAGGGTCACTGGGACTGGGGCCCTGGGGATGGGGTGACGACCGACTGGGGTTACTGGGGTTAGTTGGCGTGGCAACTATGGCTGAGTCAAAGGTCACGGTCACTTATCAATATTGATGTAGGTAGACACAAGAGCCTTGTTCATGCCGTCATATGGCATACCTCTCCAATTGCCGCTGTTAACCCGCGCCGTGCTCCCCCCTTAGATTTTCGCAAAGATCTCAAAAACGTCGTTTTTGGTACACCTGTTTATCCATCTGTTCCACACATGTTGTAAAAATTTCAGACCCGGGTCGTTCAAGGTCAAGTCACCAGGTCACGACCTTACCTCAGAAAAAGTGCAAAGGCTCGCTATAGCTACACCGGCTGAACGATCACTTTAAAGCTTTCAGCGATTGATACGAATAACAGTATGAATAAAATGTATATCTCGTTTTTTGTATTTGTGACCTAAGGTGAGGTCAGTTTTGCGACCGTTCCATTACAAGTCAATGGGAGAAAATCGAAATGCGCCTCTTTTGGACGAAATTCGTTCAAAACGCTCTCAAACATCGGTTCAGAGGTAAACATGACACACTGATTCGGAAAAATGCACCTGTGACCTCTCTGTATGCCCCTGAGGTCATCTCAGGTCATGAACGGTCACCAGCAGTCTTTTTGGCTATAACTTTTAAGAGACGTGCTAGAGCGGTGAACCGTGAAAACACGTCAGATGTGTTTAGCTCGACGATACGGATCGACTGATATGCAACATGGCCCTTTCCGGTCAGGTCATGACCTTAATCCTGAGGTCAAATTTGACCTTTCAAGGTCAGCGAATAGTTCATTCGACGCGTCTCGACGCGAGGAACACGATGCTGGCAAAAGTAATGTCGTGAGCGTGACTCTGTTATCACCGAAAAACATTTTTGTGAAAACGGCGTTTTTTTTTTTAGAGTTTTTGCCCTCTGGAGGCTAAACGGTTGACCTGAGGTCAAAGTTAAGAACAATACCCTAAAAGTTCTGTAAAAGGGCTATCGAATGCGCTTTTCCGCGACGCTGTAGAACTAATGGTTCCCGAGTTAGCCATTGGCAGTTTCCAAAATTGTTGAAATGGACTAAATTTGGCCTTGATGACCTCTGGTGACCTGACCTCTGACCTGACCTAAAAAATGACCAAGTATTTCCGTCATCATTTTTGACGCTCTGTCGATTGCCGCTTACTGCGTGTCACTACGTGGCCCAAGAGCCGAGTTAGACGGGTGGCGTGAAAACGTCCCCCCCCAGCATGACACGGAAAACATAGGCCACCAGCACGGCGCGGGTTAAAGGGAGATAATGACCTTTTTCCACAAAATCTGAGTTATGACCATTTTCTGACAAAACACAACAAGTTATAATGTAAATTAAAACCATTTTGCTCAATTCGGTACCTTGCCGCAAATATCTCAACTTGAAGTCACGTTAGCGGGGAGCGCTGAAAATGACCGTTGAATAAGTAGGGGAGAGCGGGGCCAGTTGAAACACGGGGTCAGATGAAACATGGCTTTATTTTCAACAGTATGCAACATATGGCGTTGCCGACACCACTGCGCATCCGCGCTCGACCACTTCCTTTGTCAACGGCGTTTGGGCGGCAAACGGACGGTAATTTTGATTTGACACTTGTTTTTGTGTTTTTGAGGGGCGTTTGGGAGAAATCATTCTGATGAATATTTTGTGATATCTCATATACCTTTGTTTGCTGAAAGAAGAACTCCTGGCTCCGGAATAACACCTTATTTGGCCCTTCATTCAGCATGATGCCATCCCTCCAGCTCGTTTGACATGTTCTTTACGGCGCGTGCGAGATGGCGGGAGCAGATGGGGTCAATTGAAACGCTTCTCTGAGGGTCAGTTGAAACAGGGCCACAGGCCGTTTCAATGGACCCCGGTGACCTTTGCAATGGTTATTGTTCAGGAGCTGTAAACATTAAAGGAAATAGTCCACCTTTGAAATGAGCTTTTAAACTGAAATAGGTAGTAGTTTAATAGAGCTCAATTTTGACCCCTTTTTCTCCAGCCTTTTGCTTGAAAGCACAATATAGCCTGAGATATTTCTTATTTTTCTCATCCGCCCATTTTACCATAGTCTATGTACTTTATGTCACCTATTATGAGGAACTTTGCACTTTTAGCTTTCCAACGACCTATTGAATGTAGCATTTGGAAAAGTAAACCGGACAAAATATCTCCTTAAGAAAGTGGCCTTAAAGAGGAAAACATCCCATTGTTAAGGATAGGTGCAATTGACCCCATGGGCTGGTTCAATTGACCCTCGCATCGGGGTCATTTGAAACGGGCGTAGAGCTGTTTTATAAGCATGCGTTTGGCAGCAAAATATGTTTGAAACATAATTTTACATATCTTAAAATAAAGCCAAAAGAGCATATTTTTTCATGGCATTGTGCATTTTTCGATATGACAACTAGATCTCGCTGTGCATGTCAATATATAAAAAGTGGTTCAACTGGCCCCGCTCTCCCCTACTTACATCACTTTTTGGTACTTGCATGTAATTTTGTAAAATGAGCGTATTCCTTACATTTGATCTTCATCACATCATAGTTAATGGTCGTCTATAGTGCCTTCAAAAGATATTCATGGTTTGGGGGTGGTTTATGTCTAAATTTACGCAACTATTTTTCCTGTTCATCATCTGACGCCATATGCTGCTATTTTAGTAGCAACGACTCAATTTTGAATCGGTCCCGCCGACTGCACAATAAAAGAAGATAGATACAACACTTTTGCGGCATCACTGAAAAACTTATGCAGTACTGTTATCAAAATTCTCATAACACCGTTCGACAAACCTGAAGTCTTTTTGAAATAAATATGCTTGTATTTTTCGCTTCAGGCTCTGACGCCAAAATAATGAATTTCGTAGTCGCAATCGCAAGATTTGGCTGCGTTTCTGGCGCATGCCGTTCATTTGTGCCGCATGCCGCATGCCGAAACAAAGAAGAGTAGGCACAATGTACCCCCGAATTAGAATCTAATTAATTCTAAACCGAATTAACTCTAATTCAAATTAGAATCCTTACAACCAAGCAACGACAAGGCGATAACATAAACAAAAACCCAAGCGTCGCTGTTTGAAAAAAAGCGCCATATACTGCGACTTTTTATAAAGAAGGACAACGCATTTCGGTGGGTGTTACAAGTACTGCAAGTACTGCTTCTTTTTTGCAAAAATAAAAACCTTTTTATCACATACGAAAATGTGCTAGGAAATTTTCATATTTTATAGAAACTACAGTAGAAATAGTATAGATGTCGAGTAATTTTTATTTAAGAAAAAAGAAAGCTCATTATCTCCCTTTAAAGGAAATATATCACTCTTAACATGGGGTTTTGAACGAGTGGCTTACGCAGGAATGTGGTGACTTATAGAAGAATGCCCAAAATGCAGCCACCTCAGCGTCAGCCAATGAGCATGCAGCTGGTTTAGAACTACGCATTATTATTGGCCAATAGGTACTTGATAAGCTTCCGCGGAAAACACTGCTTTATATAGAATATACATCTTCCCATCTGAAAGTGGTTTAAAAAACCCTTTTGTAAATATTATATGTATTATTTTTTAATCATTTAAAGCATAAAAAGCAGAAAACTGTAGCAAAAAACCAATTTGAAGAAAATGGTAGGTATATATTTTCTTTAAAGGACCAAAACTTAACATAAATGCAGGGGTCCATGCAGGAGATGAGGAGAGGGGACCCTAGGCCCATCGGCAGATTGAGAGCGAAGGACCCATAATGGACTGGAAGCTCTCAGCCGGTGGCCATTGACGACCTGTGCGGCGGTTCGGACCCGGCTCGGGCGAGCCGCGCGGTCGGTCTGACGGCCCGCCCGCCGTCCGGCAGGCTACCACGCCGACGGGTACCACGCCAGGGTACCACGCCGCTGTCGGTCTGACGGCCCGCCCGCCGTCCGACAGGGTAGGTCGGTCTGACGGCCCGCCCGCCGTCCGGCAGGCTACCACGCCGACGTGCTCTGTCTGCAGGAGGTGGACCAAGACGTGTGGGCCAGCTGCTGGCGGCCCATGCTGGAGGCGGCCGGCTTCGGGGGCACGTTCGCCGTCAAACGCGGTCCGCTCGACGGCCTGGCCACCTGCTGGTCGGACAAGTTCCGGTGGGTGGGCCGGGCGGCCGGTCGCGCCTGGTCGGCTAGGTTTACGATTAAAACAACTTATTTTCGGCATTCATATTCATCCGCAACCCGTAGAGGGCTGTCCTCCGCGGACCCTGCCAAGTGCCAACCGTCGGGGCCGGGGGGGGGGGGGGTAGGTTCGGCCCCCTAAGCTCTGGGAAAGTTACCGACCAATTTTAAAAATTCAAACGGCGTTCGATAGCCCCACCACTCAGGGAGGGAACTACCCTGTGACCCAATTTCATTGACCTCGGACCAGGGGGAGGCACTCGCCTTGGCCGTATATGGGCCAGAATGTCTAACGATTTCCGCCATGTTGTGTATACCAAAGTCTTGAAAAGTTGATCACTGCAATCAAACTGCAAGCATGAAGCAGCAGCACTTTTGAGTAGTGTACCTCTCACTAAACTGCACCTCTGCTACCGTACATGCAATTTATATGTCTGGTATACACAACATGGCGGAAATCGATAGCCAAAAACAAGTCACCAATGCTCCTTCCAGTATATATTAGAGTTCAGTGCCTCGGACCAACCGATGACATCACAGTTCAGGTCAAAGGTCGAATGACATCAAGTTAGGCAATGTCAACCTGTATGTACCTAAAGCCTATGGCGTTGCAGGCAGACAATGTACAGGGACCCGCAGTTGCATCTGTACACACTACCTAGTATTTCAGCGTATTCTTGGCCTGTGACATCGTTTAAGGCGAATTGGGAAATGATTGTGTGCTTATTGAAACCACCATCTGAAGGGCTTTAAACTGATGTGCTGCTCTCCTAATTCAATGAACCGTTTATGGCTGTATCAGCAAAACATTGTTTTCAGCGCTTTTTCCTGCCCCATTCCTTCTGAAACCTGGAACCGCTTATTCCATTCGCTCCTGCCATCTGACGATGGTCGTGCTGATTACTAGTTCCGGCGCTAGTTACTGCTCCAGTTTTGGTGACGATTTATAGTCATCGTGCAGTTTTGCACCCGGCACAAACTCAGGCGGCACCGTGGCTCGACCAGTGAGGGTCGGACCGAGCCCGGACTGCCTGGGGCGTGGTTAGATCGGAGGCCCTGCTGGGAAGGGGACGGGAACTCACAGCAGGCCCTGCTGCCTGCTGTGAGAGGCGCGTATTAATATTTGAGAATATTTTATTGCTGCATATTGTTTCTTTGGCATTCAGCTTTCACTGGAAAACGAAAAAAAACACGCCTATAATTTCAAGACTGTCCTGGATAGCTCGTTGAATAAAAAAATATTGCGTTTTTACAAAAACGCAATTTTTGAAAAAGGCCATCGAACGATTTCGACAAAAAAAAAACATTTGTGGAATCAACTTACCGTCAGCTTTCGAATGGTATATTTCGTTTCTTTTGTGGATGAAATGACTTTCCGACGAACCGTGCAGAGCGACACGCGATCGCTGACCTGGACCCCCCCCCCCCGCCACTGGCGCAGGCTGGTCTCCACAGAGCGACACGTGATCGCTGACCTGGACCCCCCCCCCCCGCCACTGTGGCAGGCTGGTCTCCACAGAGCGACACGTGATCGCTGACCTGGCCGGGCTGTTTGCCGACGTGCAGCAGGCTCTGGACAGCAACGAGTCTCTCCGACAGAGTCTGACCGAGCAACCGCAGGTTCTCCAGGTATGTGATAATGACTGACTGACTGACTGACTGACTGACTGACTGACTGACTGACTGACTGACTGACTGACTGACTGACGGACAGACTGACTGACTGACTGACTGACTGACTGACTGACTGACTGACTGACTGACTGACTGACTGACTGACTGACTGACTGACTGACTGACTGACTGACGGACAGACTGACTGACTGACTGACTGACTGACTGACTGACTGACTGACTGACTGACTGACTGACTGACTGACTGACTGACTGACTGACTGACTGACTGACTGACTGACTGACTGACTGACGGACAGACTGACTGACTGACGGACAGACAGACTGACTGACTGACTGACAGACGGGCAGAATCAATTGAGTGCAACTCCCTCTCACAGGAGCAAAGTTAAAGAACTTTCGTTTCACACTTTCGACATTCACTATCTTCCGAATCCCCACTGAATACGTGGCTACAATTAGTGGCTGTCATACTGTGTAACGACTAAAGAAAGACAAAATTTTATGCCAAAATTTATTTTGACCTCCCAACCTAAAATCTCTGGCGACGCCTATGTTGTTTTCAGCAGCTGACACACTGTGTGTGCCGACACACTGTGGGTGCTGAGTGCTGACACTTTGCGGGTGCTGAGTGCTGACACACTGTGGGTGCTGACACTATGTGGGTGCTGACACTCTGTCGCCAGCTGACGCTGCTGGAGGAGAGCGGGCCGGAGCAGGCGGGCCGGCCGGCGCGCCGCCTCCTGGTCGCCAACGTGCACCTGGTGTGGAGCCGCACCAGGGAGCACCTGCGCGCCCTGCAGGTCGGCCTCTGCCTGCGCCTGATCCAGCGCCGCCTGGAGGCGCGCCACGACCAGGTCAGTCAGACGCTCAGAACTCCATTAGAAAAGTATGTAGCATCGGCCGAACATGACGTCACTCTGACGGCATTTTAGACCGACACGTAACAAGATTACCTACCTCATCGAAGTTTCCTTTAGCTGCGCCGTGCTGGGGGGGGGGGGGGGAGGGGCGTCCTCCCCCTCTTCAGGTTTTTCGCGAATATCTCACGCAAACGGTGCAGCGCCGCCGTTTTTGCTACACCTGTTCATACATCATTTCCGCACATGTGAAAATTTTAGACCTCGGTCATTCAAAGTCAGTTCACCAGATCACGTCAAGTGACCTAACCTCAGAAAAGGTTCAAAGGCTCGCTATAGCTACACCGACTGAATGATCACTTTGAAACTTTCAGATGAGTAACAGTATGTATAAAATGTACCTATATCTCGGACTCTTGATATCTGAGACCTAAGGTCAGGTCAATTTTGCGACCTCTCCATTATAAGTCAATGGGGGAAAATTGAAATGCGCCTCTTTTGGACGAATGCCGTTCAAAACGCTCCCAAACATTGGTGGTTCATAGGTAAACATGACACGCTGAATCGGAAAAAAATGCCCCTGCGACCACTCGGTATGCCCCTGAGGTCATCTCAGGTCATGAACGGTCACCAACAGTTTTTTTTTGCTATAACTTTTGATAGAGACGTGCTAGAGCGGTGAAAACTCATCAGATGTGTTCAGCTCGACGATAAGGATCGAATGATATGCAACATGACCCTTTCTGGTCAGGTCATGACTTTGACGTAAGGTCAAATTTTCCAGATGACCTTTCAAGGTCAACAAAAAGTTCATTCGCCGTCTCGACGAGAGGATCACGATGCTGCCAAAAGTAAGGTCGTGGCTAGCTTGCGTCAAAAGTTATTGCCGATTTTTTTTTCGTGAAAACCTTTTTTACAGTTTTTGTTCTCTGGAGGTTAACCGTTGACCTGAGGTCAACTCTGAGAACATTACTCAGAAAGGTCTGTAATACGGCTATCGAATGCGCTTTTCCGCGGCGCTGTAGCTCTATTGGTTCCCGAGTTAGCCGTTGGCATATTTCCGAAATTATTAAAATGGACTAAAATTGACCTTTGATGACCTCTGGTGACCTGACCTTTGACCTTACCTTAAAAATGACCGAAGTGTTTTGTACCTGTTTTTGACGCTGCTTCGATTGCCGCTTACCGCGTGTCGCTACGTGGCCCAGGAGCCGAGTTAGACAGGGGGAGGGTGGGACGTGAAAACGCCCGTCTCAGATTTTTTATTTTGACCCCAAAAATAAAAAGTGACTTTTTATATAAATTTAGCCAAAAAAATCCCAAACGTTTTTCGAATTTCGAAAAACCGAATTGCTTTTAATAGTACGTACCTATCGTCTTCTATTCACGTATCAAATTTCAGATCGATACCTCTTTTTTGGCCAAGTTATAGCGAATAAGAAACTGTTTAAAAGTGATGACGTTTAATTTTCAAAATTAATATAATTTGGCAATTCTAGACGACGTAGCGCAAATCAAAAACCACGATTAGACTGCCCTTGACAAGCACTTTGAAATTTGACCTAATTTGACCTGCTGACCTTGACCTGCCTTCACAAAAGCATGACCTAAACTGGGCGGAGGGCCACAAACATATGACGCGCTAAAACGAAAAGTGACGAGCAAATCATATCGATAAATCACAAATCATAACACATTAACATTTTACATCGCTCATGCCTCATGACGGGGCTGGGCCCCACACACCTCCCACAAAAAAAGACCGTTTTTTACATCACACGCACTTACTCGTCACCCACTTTGAGCCACTTGGGGAAGTGGGCGGACGCCGTCAGCTTGGCGTACCCGCTGGGGGAGGGGTGCACGCCGTCGAGAAAGAAGTGTTCGACACCCCAGATCCCCCGCTCGTGGCGACCCATCTTCCGAACAAGTGACCTCCCGATGGGCAGGCACTTCAGGCGGTCGCCGAAGTCGATACGCATCAGCGCGCGCTTGTGGTGGACGGTGGTAGGCGGCAGTGATCTGCCAGGGAGTACCGAGCAGTTCTCCGGCCGGCCTCGGGAGGGATCCCCGAGGACGCACACGTTCTCGGCCGTGTTCAGAAGGCGCCCGATGACGCGGGTAGCGCGCTCCCCGATGCTGCCTACATCCGCTGCGGTGAAGGAGGACATTTGCGTGTACCGGGTGTACAGCTCAGCTCCGTTCAGCCAGAGGGGCGCGCTGCCGAGGCGCTCACCGCTTGCGGCGGCCGTCACCTGCCAGGCGCTGATGTCGGTCTCGATGTTGTTGAGGACCGTCAGCCAGGTCGCGCCCTCGCACGCACGGCTGCAGGTCAAATCCGTGACGGAGCGCAGGCCCGATCTCCTCGCGACCGAGTCACTCAGGAGTCCAGGACCAGATGCATCCTTGGGTCTCGCACCGGCTCCAGCAGACCCAGCTTTTGCACCAAAGTACATAAATGTCCAACAGATCGCCTGAAGTCAAGCGTTTTTAAATTTATCCATCAGGAACTCCGCAGTAACCCTGCAAAGCTAAGATGCGTACTCTTGCCAACATCTCCCCTAAAACAGAGGCAGTGTAAAAGAAACGGGATAATTATGAAATTTGTAGAGTAATATTGCAAATGAGTATAAATTGCACGCGTCGGAGCCGTCTCCGCACTGGTAAATCCCGCCCTGTTTAAGTCGGACACTAATCCGTACTCCAGAATGCGTCACCAATTGTTTGGGTCGTTTAATGTTGAACGGGAAGCCCTATGTGGTGAAGTCGGGGGATGCTTCCAGGCGGTATAGTTTTGTCACGGGTCTCCTTGTTTGACGACCCCGCAACGATGTGATCGCAGCTCTCGGGATTCCATCCCGTCCACGAATGAGAGCTAGTACACGGGCCAGGGGCCAACGACCTCTGCTCTCTTCCCCGTGTATTGAGACGATTTCTCCAACTTGAGGAGTGCGGACCGGACGTCTGCGGGGGCTTGTGCTCCAACTTCTCAATGTCTGTAGGTACTCATCGGTCCAGCGTTTGATGAGGTGTTCTGCGACCCTTTCCCGGTTCTTCCACGCTCGGTTCAGGCTTGTGGTCGGGTCCACCGCTGGTGAGACGACTCCCTTGATGTGTGTAACGCCAAAGAGAAAGTGGGCAGGTGTCAGAAGCCCGTCCGTGGTTTCTTCCGTCAGTGGCCTGAGGTTCAGATACATGGCAAGTTCGTAGAAGAGTGTGACCAGTTCCTCGTGTGTCAGGTGTCACTGGTGAAGCGTGATCCTCATGGCCGCCTTTACGCTTCCCACTAGCCTTTCCCAGAAGCCCCCCCACCCCCACCATGAGGAAGCTTCGGGAATGTAGCGCCACTTCACGCTGGCTGACAGCAGTCCTAGTATTTTGTGGAAGGACTTGCGTTGTCGCTCACTATCAGTGATGGAGTGCCTCTCAAGGCGAAAAAAACGCCTCAGAGCCGATTGAAGGTCCTCTGTGCTCTGGCTTCTGACGACTTCCAGATGAATGGCCCGTGTAGTGGCGCAAGTGATCAGCAGAGCCCATACCTTGCTGACCTCATCAACATGCAGGGATCCCAAGTAGTCGATCCCGATGCTCTCGAACGATCGGAAAGGTTGAGTCCGGAAGGAAGAAAGTGCTCCTTGTGTCTGTGTGTAGGGCAAGGCCCTGTACCTTCGACATCTGGTGCAGGTTTGCACCCCACACGTAGTACCATTTTCCGCCAAACGATGTCTCCGCTGATAGGAGAGCGAGGGTGCTACCTTGGTGGAAGGAGAGTGTGTGGGCGTGATCGATGATCAGGGCGATGATGTGTCGTAGATCGGGAAGGATGATCACTGCGGGTTCGCGGTGCGAGGTGTAGCTCGAAGTAGACCGTCTTCATCTACATGCGGTCGGAGGGTTTTCAGAGGAGAGTTGAGAGGGATGGAGTGATGAGCTTGGAGCGCTTCCATCTCCTTTGAGTATGTTTCCTCTTGTGCCAGTTTGATCCAGAGGTGAAGAGCGTCGCGCCTTTCCTCTGGTCGTAGTGGTCCTGCGACTCGCTGTTCTCTCGCTGGGCGTGAGCTACGGATGAACTGGAGCATCCGCGCCGTTCGATTCACCGCTTGCGTGAGTCTGGAGCAGTCTGGAGCTGCACACATAGCACCTCACGGCTCACCACACCACATTGACCCTCGCGGCGAAGGGGGAAGGGGGCGGGTACCGTCCCCCTTATGTTTTTTTTTTCGCGATAACTAGGAGTATGCAGGCGATAAAGAGCTGAAATTTGAGTCAAGTCAGGTCATTGATCTATGACGTGATAAATGAACCTGTGCACAGTCCTATAAAATGTTCCAACTTCGCAATACCCTCAGTGCTGAGCTTTTGTAGGGAGAAACTTACAGGACCTTATAGTATCATCGAGAGGCCTCACACCTTGTATAAAGTAGGCATAAATGTATAGGGTGTCCCAAAAGTAAGGTCATGATTTAAAACTTAAATATCTCGAGAAATAAGAGTCCGAATCACTTCCAATTTTGACACGTGTCGTGGCCGCTACCCCGTGTTGATGTTGAAGGTCGCCCTGCACGTCGAAACTTGGAGCGGCCCTGCCGCTGTCCACAGAGAGTGGCCCGAGTTGGCACCCTACTGTGGCTGGGGACGTGCAGTCGAAGTGGGTGTGGAGAGCTTTAAGTGGACTGTATCATTTGAGAGAATGGACTAGCCGACTGATCACCGCGACCGCCAGGTCAAAGCTGTACTTGGCACGTCTTAAATGTATTGTCGAAATCCTTGTCGGAGAAACCTCCGCACAAGTCTTACTCATGCGTGCCGAAAATCAAGACAAATCAAGAACAAGACATGAGCTGGTTAGACACTTGCCAGCAGAGACAGACATGAATCCAAGAACGAGTCAGACGCATCGAGCTGTCGAACTTGCGCGCATACCGCGGATGTGTGCGATTGTATGTCGTGTGTTAACCCTGAGGTGAAACGGCACTATGGCCGGAGTTAAACTGGAG